AAGACAGGACTGCAGGTGAACATAGACAAGACGGAGGTTATGAAAATAACCAACCAACAACGACAACAGCAGCAACATCCAGTGCCAATCACCATCAACGGGAGGGATTTGAAAGAGGTTACTTCTTTCACTTATCTAGGGAGCATTGTCTCAACCACAGGAGGAACGGACGCACGAGGATGTCAAAACGAGAATCGGGAAGGCGAGAAACACATTCATCAACCTGAAACCAATCTGGAAATCTTCGTCACTCAACATCAACAACAACAAAATTCGGATTTTCAATACAAACGTCAAGTCACTTCTTCTTCTATACGGCTCAGAAACTTGGCGGGTCACCAAGAATATTTTCAACAGGTTGCAGACCTTTATCAACAACTGTCTTCGCTCCATACTGAAGATTAGATGGCCGGAAAGAATCACAAACAAGAAGCTATGGGAACAAACAAAACAAGGACCAATTACCCAACAAATATGCAGGAGGAAGTGGAGATGGATTGGACACTCACTGAGGAGGCCGCTGGGTGACATCGCGCGTCAGGCCCTCGAGTGGAACCCGAAAGGGAAGCGGCGAGTGGGACGTCCAAGGGTGACATGGAGGAGATCGTGTGAGGAGGAGATGAAACAGTATGGAATAACATGGACGCAAGTGAAAAGAACGGCAGAAGACAGAAGCAAGTGGAGACGTGCAGTTGAAGCCCTATGTTCCACTAGGAACCCAAGGGAACAATATATATATATATATTTTTTGGGACCGGATTGGAGTGCGAGGTTGATTGCTTAACTAGCTGGGGATCGCGGATGAACGAACGGAAGTAACACGATGGCGTGGATACTTGACTGTAAGCCTTAAGCTAAACAAGTCAACTTAAACAGTAAGAGTCAGCATCCAGTGTTCATTGATGAATGTTGTGGCTTATCATTTTGCGGAATTATCAACCGCTACATACCCTTTTGTGATGATGTATTCTCGAAGATAAATGGTTTAATTAGGAAGCTTACAGTGTCATTTTCGACAAAATATTGAGTGGTAATTACACTTGAAAGTCAAACTCTTCCTTGATTTATTGTTAGATTCAGTGGTGCAATTTTATTCATAATTCTAAGCTAGTGGCAGTAATGAATTATTCTTTTTTTTCATTAAAATTCTTCTTAACTGCCTAGCAGCTGCTTTACACTCTAAATGCTACTTCCCTTGATATTTTGTTCATACTGCTTTGGTTATCAGTGTCTTACAAAAAACTGAGGTATTCATGTGAATATCCGTGTGAAACACATATTACATGAACTCCAGACTCCTGAAAAATCTCGTGTTAAACTCTATACAGGATTCCTTTGATGAGCTAATGCAAATCAAATTGAAATTCTCTGGCTAGCTTCTTTGTTGTAAGGTAAAGGTTCCTGACCTTAGGTAAAATTCCACGTGCTATGTATCTCCACTCGCCTGCCTTATCTCCGGTTGACTGTGATGGGACTAGTTACGTGCAGTTCCTCTATTTAGTGTGCTCAGACAGTAGATGAAATTAATCTTCTCATCCATTAGTCACGCCTTGTAGTTGAAACGGGAGATAACAACAATAACAATAAGATAACTAATGGGGTTTGTATAGAGTTTAAAACAAAAACGAACAAAGTAACAGATAGGTAATGATTATTTCGACCAGCTTCAAGAACGACCAAATAATGGGCGTTCAGTGGCGAGATTATTCCTCCACATTAGCAAACCTTTTCAAAAAGTCCCACCTAACACAAACCCAATCCAATGGAACAATTGGGAATCTTCTCATTTGGCTGCCTTCTTTTCTCACAGTGAGGAGAATTAGACAAAATCAACCACCACATATCTACACCTAAACCGATAGCTAACGATTTCATACTAGATAAAATTCTTGGGCCTATTCTATTCCTATTATTCATAAATCACAATCTCTGATACATGGCATGGCAAGCAATAACTCTTTGCATATGATCTGTATAAAGTATAGGATTTCGGGTACAACGATATCAGCATTTAAAGAAAAATCCAACACTGCTCAAACAGTCCACGCTATTCAAGTGATAAGTGGAATGTGGTGATCCACAATTTTTATCTCTGTATTGTTTAAATACTTACTGTTGTTTGTTAATATATTTATTATATGAATTGAAATATAATTCCGCCAAATACAAATTCCTAAATTCATCCCTCTCTGTGTTTTGGTTGAATTCCTGTAATTCGATCATTGGGAAATACAATACTACTAGTTCAAATAACAATCACATTTTGGCGTCGCTATGGAATTAAATAATCTTGGAAAGTTTCCTATAAACGGTTCACCGCGGGAAATCTCTGATTATCTTGAGTGTTTCGACGCATGGTGCATGTCGAAGAATGTTCGCGATGACAAAATTTCAGCTCATTTTATTACTGCTATTGGGCTAGTTGCGTACAGCCTAGTGAAAACTCTGTCATTTCCAGATAAACCAATTTCTCTGTCATATGATAAACTCCGTGAACTTCTAACAAATCACTTCCACAAAACAACTTTCGAAACACGAGAGAGGGCTCAGTTCAACAAACCAACCAGAAGATTAGAGCATTTGTTCTTCAACGTCGGATACAAGCTTCAAAGTGCAACTTTGGAGATCAGCTCTATACTCAACTACGTGATCGTCTAATTGCTGGAATTAATATTAATTCCAATAATTACACGATCACGTAGTTGAGTATAGAGCTGATCTCCAAAGTTGCACTTTGAAGCTTGTATCTGACGTCGAAGAACAAATGCTCTATTCTTCTGGTTGGGACCACGAACAAGTTTGTTGAACTGAGCCCTCTCTTGTGTTTCGAAGGTTGTTATGTGGAAGTGATTTGTTAGAAGTTCACGGAGTTAATCATATGACAGAGAAATTGGTTTATCTGGAAATGACAGAGTTTTCACTAGGCTGTACGCAACTAGCCCAATAGCAGTAATAAAATGAGCTGAAATTTTGTCATCGCGAACATTCTTCGACATGCACCATGCGTCGAAACACTCAAGATATTCAAAGATTTCCCGCAGTGAGCCGTTTATAGGAAACTTTCCAAGATTATTTAATTCCATAGCGACGCCAAAATGTTATAATTATTTGTAACAGTAGTATTTGTATTTCCCAATGATCGAATTACAGGAATTCAACCAAAACACAGAGAGGGATGAATTTAGAAATTTGTATTTGGCGGAATTATATTTCAATTCCAATATCCAATATCCAATATCGTTTTTACGAGCTAGTATAAACCAATTTCATTTCTTTGTGCTCGCCTCTTGATT